CAGGAAGGGCAGCCACCAAATCACACAGTGTAGTCTCAACAGCTTTTTCTTTAGAGCCCACTGAAAATGGCTGGGGTTTCCTCTGCCAAAAATAGCTATTCATATATATCTGAATAATTTATGACTGTGGTTTATATTTAAATAAAGCACTTCAATGAATTTCTTTCTTTTCTAAGAGTCATGAATTCTGCCCTGTGGCTTTCTGAGAGCCAAGCAAGCTAAAGGTAATATAAGATGACATTGGCAATATGTACAAGGACAGAGATTACAGAAGCCTCTGTTAAAGAATCAAAAATCCCGACTTCTTTTTGGGCATGTGGTTGTGCACTGTTGAAGCAGAAATGAGATGCTTGGTAAAGTGAGAGCCAATTTCACCTTCTTGAGCATGGAGCCAAGGCTGGGGCTAGGTTTACAAACACAACACAAAAGTAGTGGCAGGACCTCCTACCTATGTTGTGGTGTGATGCTGTGAAGAGTTTTGCAGTGGCCAATTGCTGGTTGTCTCCTGTAACCATATTGTTTCGGGTGACATTATTTATATAACCTTGATTACAGGAAGTAAAGATTAAGAGAACTATAAAATGTTTAGGGATCCATCCAATCCAACCCCTTTATTTTACAGATGGGGAAACTGAGGCTCAGAGAAAGATGTGATTTGATGTGCCTATAGTGGGTTAAATAATGGCCCCCAAAAGAGATGTTCAATTTTTAATACCTGGCACTTTAAACACTATCTTATTCGGAAAAAAGATCTTAGCAGATATAATTAAGCTAAGGGGCTCATGATAAGATCATCCTGGATTTAGGGCAAATTCTACATCCAATGGCAGGTGTCCTTGTAAGAGAAAGGCAGAGGGATGTTGAAGAGAAAAAGCGATGTAAAAATGGAAGTAGAGATGGAATTAGGTAACCACAAGGCAAGGAATGCTTGGAGCCCCCAGAAGCTGAAAGAGCCAAAAAGGAGAGAAACTTTGGAGGGAGTGTGACTCTACCAGCACCTTGATATCAGATTTCTAGCTTCCAGAATGATGAGAGAAAAAAATTCTTTTGTTTTAAGCTATATGTTGATGGTAATTTGTTATAGCTGCCCTAGGAAAGTAACATAATGGACAAAGGATAGAACCAGGCTAGAACCCAAATCTCTGTACTCCCTGTCTTGTGTTTCCCTGCCTCTGTTTCACATGCGCTGAGTTCTGATTTTGTCAAAGAGGTAAAAAGCATTCACACTCCTTGCTGTTAAGAACATAACTTCTGAGATGAAGGCAATAAAGAATATTGCAAATACTGCTGTTTCCATGGGTTGATGCTTAGCCCCTCCAACAACTAAGCTTTCTGAGCTTGGAAGTAATAGATTGACTGTGGTATTAAGCTTTAGGGAATCATGCTGAGATCTGGAAGAGAGAAACTGATAAAAGATAGCCAGAAAGGTTAGCCATTTGACTCCAACAGAATACACAGAAAGCAGGTAACAATACCTACCTCACAAGGTGTTTATGCAAATAAACAAGTATTTATTGAGCACACACTATGTGCCAGACATTCATGTAGCCTCCTTGATCTAAGTGTGAATAACGGGATCTCACAGTGGCAGAGACTAATGGCAGCATATAAATGCCAGACAGTACGGATATGGTTATGGAAACGGGACACAAGGCCTGTGTGGTAATCAATGGTTTGAGCTGCAGGTATCCTTGTCATTGGCTAATTGCTCATGATCTCCCCAGAATTAAAACAATGAGAGCCTACAAAAGTCTTAATTGAAAAAAAGTCTAGGTTTGGTGAGCAGAAGTCTTACTTGAGGCATCACAATAGAGAGTACACTGTAACTTTCATTTCTTTCTCCGGATCCCTTCTCCCTTGTTCTCCATCTTGCTCTGACCTGTGTGGATTGTGTCACGGGGCTGCCTTGCCCTCTGGCTTCTGCTTGGGTTTAGCCAATGGGAAGCACTGCCAGGAGGTTGAATGTCTTTCAGCCTATTTCCCCAGCTACCCTAGGGCTTGCTCAATGAACTCATAAATAACGCGGCCATGGTAGCAGGGGTAGAAGTTATGCATGGGCTCTGCCATAGGGATCTCTCACTAAGACTAATCTAGCTACTCCCACTGGTAATTGCTGAATCTACCAATTGCAAAGGTCAACGATGAGTTCCTGGTATGGCACCATTTCTCAGCAGCACCAGACTGTCACCTGATGGCAGGTTGATTACATAAGGAAGGAGACAGCAATTCCTCAGTGGACTTAACACTTATTCTGGGTATGATATGTCTTAATACTTCAATGTCCCATATCAAAAAGTAAAGGAAGACTCTAGCAGCACAGTTCAGTCAGAACCATTAATAGTTCACAAACTTAAGAGTGAAGGTGTAAAAGGTAAAGAACCATGAGTAGCTGAAGGGCTGACTGAGGGAATAGGGAATGTGAAACGGATAGGAGAAGAAGGGAATTTTCAACACCAACTACTACCTCATCACCAATTAAAAAATGAGATTTTAGTAGCTAGACATATTTTTCCTTTGGCTTGTTTTATATATGTAAAACTAATATGTAGACTTTCTTCTCTGTCCTCTACTCTTTCATTTAGGGTGACTTGATGGTAGCTAACCTTGTAATTTAGATTTTTCGGTTACAGGATACCAAAGGAAGATTGTGATTGAAAAAGAAAAAGAAGGACCATCATAAAGAGAAGATAAATGACTGGCAGGACTTTGGGTCTCCCCTTCTGAGGAAGATAGTGAGGGCATCTTCATCTGCATGAGAAATAGTCACAGAAATGAGGTGGAAGCATGATATTGTCATTCTCATTGTTTGAAAACAAATGTGGGTAAAAGGGTATATATGAATGCTGAGCACCTGAAACAATGAGCTGCACCAGACTATCCACTAGCAATGCAGGATCTCTCTTCTGTGATCCCCCAAGAGTTAGGAAGTCTGGAGCATTGCTTAGAATCTTTTGCTAACCATTTTCCATGCTAGATACCATACATGACAGGTACTTCTATGGAGTTTGAAGAATGGAAAAGAGGCAGAGTATTATTATTCTCCCTGCTGGTAGCAGTGGACAGATATATACTCTTCAGCAAAAATGAGCAGAACTCGGGGCACAGCTATAAATAAGACAGAGGTTTAAAAGTTAATAAGATAATTCTATGAACAGCGCTTAAAAACCTGAAGAAAAAGACCAATTTCTAGGAAAATGTCTTACCACATCTGGCTCAAGAAGAAATTGGAGCCCCCCAAATCCTATTACTGTTAATTAAATTGAAGAAGTTATGAAAAATCTGTCAACAGACTTACGTTTTTACCTGTGAAAAATTAACTGTTATGATAATTCTTTTTCTGGAAAATTAGAAAACTGGATAAAGTATGTGAAACAATGGTTTTCAGACATTGGACAACAGGCAACATGTAACTATAATCTCTGAGAGAAAGAGAACAAATGAGGTGAGCCCCTATTGCCCAGTTTACAAAGACAGAGAACACCAGAAATCTGCAGAGAAATCTTTTTGAGTCTTTGGGTGAGGAGTAACCTATGTATGCATTGGGTGAAACAGGATGAGTCTAGGCAAAGGACCACTAGAATGTAGTAAACTAAACAATTTCTGGAGCTCACACAGGACTATAAGTTTGTGTTACTAACAGCCAGAAGAATCATGCTTTAGTTAGTAAGTCCTGAAAGTTTAATATATAGTTTAATGTATTTTTTTTTGTTGTCTCGGGTTTATTGAAAATAATACAGCATTGCAGAAAAGATTCAAACAGGTCCCTGAGGCGTTTTGAAATTCATCCCAACTGTAGGCTGAGTGACCTGCAGGTTGGACAGACTGCCAAAGTCCAAAAGCTTCAGCATTTCCTTAGTGTCAGGATCTACTTCAATGATCTGATCCAGGGCTGAGACCTCAGGAACATAATTGTCTCTCTCTCTCTCTCCTCCTCCTGCAGCTTGATGGAGCCTCTTACTGGGCCTCTCTGCATCCACTTCATCAGATGCGCGACATAGCCTGCTATCTTGTTGCAGAGCCTCTTGCTAGTGGTAATGGCGATCTCCTCACACAGGCGCTTGTTGTGTGGAAGTCGGCGCCCAAGCGCGTGTAGTACTTTTCTATGATGACCCGGGCCACCTTCTTCACCGTTTTGGTGTGAACGTGGCCCATGTTGGTGGGTCCTTGGTGAAAGAGCATTTAATGTATTTTAATAGCAAACTTACAGGAACAGCACAGAAGACGGACAACATGAAACACGTGCTCGAATGTAGGACAACTCAGTTAGAAAAGCATAGTGAATGGACAGAATCTACTGTATGATAAAAATGCTACAAACACTATTTAGTTGCTGTCAATAAGAAATTTCCTTGTTTAAAAAATCCAAATGCTAGCATTGTTCAGAAAAAACAGGTTTATTTATAATTATTATAAAGTTGAACCGCTGAAATTTGTTCACTGAAACATTTAACTTCCATTAATGCTTTATAGCCTCACATTTACATTAAAAATTGACACACAAATGAAAATGGAAAGGCTGCCAATACATCCCCTATTTTTGCACTCGCTATCATATACTTAGGTACCTTTTGATCCCATGGGGAAAAAATATCTAACATACAGAACTACCAATAACAGGAAGAATTTTTTTTTTTTTTTTTTTTTTTTTT